CCTAACAAATGGTAAATAATGCCAAGATAGGTGTCAAAAAGCCAAAGATGAACAACCCTCTGCTTGTTGAAGTCTTTATATATAATTAAAAACTTAATTCTTAGTAGCAAAAGACATTTAGGACAACTTGCAAGTTAACTGGAAACCTTGCAAGTCATGCCATAGGGTATTCTAGGTGAATTAGACATTAACTATAAAAATAAAATTATAAAACCTGGAAAGAAGTATAGTCTTTATTATCGCTTCTCCCCGAAAAAATCCACTGGAAACACTGTATAATTCTCAACTTTGCAGTCTGACCATTCACAATTAAATCTGTTGGTTATAAATTATAACCTATTGCCAGCCTATGTCAATAAAACCAAAATTCTCTGTGAACAGGTGATGGACCAAGGGGTGATGCAGTCACCATCATATAGTTGTAATGTAGAGGGAGTCCCTTGTTTTGCCTTGTTGCTGCCTCCTATCCACAGACAAAGCAACAACTGACCTTAAAAGAGGAAACCTGGGATGGAGGCTGTGTCCTCAACTATTAACCAAGAGAGACAATACAGAAAAGGCTCCAGCTATTCAAGTCCCTCTCCTCATTCCCATAAAAAGAAATACCACTGCTTTCTAAGTTTGTCCAAAAACATACAGGTGGAAAACTGAACTAACTGTATTTTTTTTTCTTTAATTTTCCACATCACTTTTCCTGAGCAGAGATAATATGAAAGCTTGCCTTTCAATGCCAAAGGACGTTTTCTTTTCTTTCTATGCTACAGAGTAAGCATCTCCTGTGTGAACAGCAGTTGAAATTGTGTGTCTGAAAGTTGAATAAGAAATGTCATAGAATAAAAGATTTAAAAAAAAAAAAAAGAGATATGAGGGGATACAGAAAGGAAGAGAGGAGAGTAGCAATGCAACTAACTATGGCAACAATCCATCTCTTAACCTGAGAAGCTCCTCCTTCAAAGAAAATGCCAGTACCACTGGACACCAGAAACTAGAGTATAAGCTACCATCTGTGTGCTGCTTCTTTTTTTTTTTTTTGTCACTGGAGAGAAAAACAGGCAGGTGGCAGGATTCCTGCCCACACTTCTGCATGACATGGCTCCACTGTGCACACAGTCACATGCACAAAGACAGACTCACAGGCTGAAGAGATACTGTGGGGCAGGGCAGCTCATGCTGTTTGCCAGAGGTCTTAAGGGGATCTTCTATTTCATTCCCTAGTAATGCCCTTTTTGTTGACAAAAGTAAATTGATGATAGTCAAGAGGGAAGCATTTGGTGGAAAAAATTCTGTTGACCCTTCTCAGATTGAATTTGACCACAGAACAGGATACCAGCAGTTGCAGAAATGATAGATTATTGTAATGACTGCCAGAATGGCCTTTTGGCATGTTTAAATGGCAATAAATTTCACCAGGAAGAAGGCAATTTTACTACTTTAGAGCAGTAAGGAAACACGGTGTTTAAGGTGTAAATAAATCGTGGGTCATTAACAGCAAGCTTATTCTGTCCATGGTGCAATTCTCAATCAGTGGCTATTCATATTTAATTTAATTATGTGGATTTACTTAGCCAATTATGCTTTTTTGTTCCAGGTCACAGACTTCTCAGGCTGACAATTTTGTTCTCTTCCTGTCTCCCTTATGTCTATAAACACAGCCCTAGTTTCTCCCTCGTTTTTTCTTCCACAGGTACATAAATACCATCGGGGAAGTTCAATGATACTAGCTCACTGAAGAGCCTGCTGAGATTATTAAATTAGAGACTGATGTGCTATGTGGTCTTTTTCTTGGCTCCAAAATCCCTTCTGTCCCTCGCTCATTAATCTGGCTCAGTCCTTCACTGAACTCTGCCATTAAAAGAGGAGGCGGGAGGGAGAGGTGTGCAATGAAGTTTGACATTTTCTCAAAAATGATTGTATTAAAACCCACTTACATTTATAGCTCCATCTCATTTGAGAATGTTAATCAGTTGCAATTTCATCAAGGTAAAGGTATTGGGATCTAATCAAGTCAAAGACTTGCTCACATCAGTATGGATTGCACTTCTGAAGCCTCACTTCAAAAGGTCATTTTTAAATACAGCTAAAGGTGATAATTAACAAAGTTCATTAATAACAATCTGCTTATGGACAGTTTAAAACATTTGGGCTCCATCTACTGTATTAGTTTCAGGCCAAATACAGCTTACTTCAAGCTTGTATTAGCTCTGACCAGAGTTGCAAAATTCAGAAGACATACTCCAAATCAGGCAGGTCAATAATGCTTTCCAGAACCCAATTAGTGCTGAACTTGGGTTGGCCGAACAAGCACAATCTCTCCAAAAGCCTAAATCTCATTTTATACTAAGCAAAGTGTGGAATGTCCTTCCTCAATCTGACTGAAAGGATAGTCTGAGTGATTAGTCCCAAGCCTCACTTACAGGCAGTCACGTGTATTTCTTTCTGCTTGCTTCGTGTTTCCTGGAATGTTTTTCATGAGACCATACTGAAAAGCTTTTCTGTTCCTATAATTCTGTAAACTGCTGGGGACACACTAGTAGCCCCAACCAACTTTAGACCAAAAACATCAACTTGTTTATCTCAGATCAACTCCAGGAACTAATGAAACTCTGGCAGCTAGTGGGAGGCACAGAAGCTATGGAGGGTGCTCATCACATTGAATCACTGCCTATTTCAGAATTAATGGGCTTGGCATCCCAGATGGAGACAGGAGAGATAATACAGAAATATACTAAATAAAGACAACCACTAGAAGAAGTTTAATAAGACAAAATTTGAGGAATCACATTGAATATTTAAGGCGTTTATAGCAAGAGAAAAGAATCACTCATGTAAGAGTTGGACAATTTCAGAAAACGATCTGTCAATTGTGTCATTTTACAGATGAACAAATAGAGACAGAAAATCTGAGTGGGTTTCTCTAAGTCGACAGAATTTGCTGGCAAACTAGGACTAGAACAAAGACTTCTGACTCCTAATTCTACAATGCCAGCAAGCTGTATTCCAGGAAGGACAAGCCACTGAGAGTGGAAACTTCAGGAGTGCTCTGCAGCTCTGAGGAGTGGCTACCATTTGGGGAAGCAGAAACCTGAGAAAACCTGCAAGTGTCCTCACCTCACCCCTTCTCACTGAGGTCCTGGGCTGTGCTCACGATTCTTAAAACAAACATCTAGTGTGTTTGGGTTGCAGGGGTGGGAATGCCCAGTTTTCCAAGTCTACACGTTGTTTTCAAAGCCCAGGATCATCTTTGTCACGACTGCCAGAGAGCGAAAAAGAATACTGGGAAGGGCAGGGTATTTTTGGACTACAGGGCAAGGTTATCTCGCTCTGGCTGAGATAAATGAGAAGGGTCAGAACCTTGCCAGTTTTCAGTGCAATCAGTCAAGTTGACCACATGTGAGGAAGATGGAATTTTTATAGAAGCTGTCGACGTTTAAAAGCACGTAGTCACATGTAGCGATAAGTCAAGCCTCCTGTGTTTTTAATGGGCTTGCGTCCCAATCTTACTTTTCCAAATGATGATAGCTTTATCTCTTAGTGTATCGTTAACTCTCCAGCTAGATCTATTCACAGTCAGGCAGACCAACAGAAAGTGTGTGCCTAGCCTCCTTTCTTGTTTACCATCTCCTGCCAAGCTAATTCTAGACGAGCAAAAATGTCCCTGCACTGGGGGTAATCATGATGACAGGGAAGGTAATGTTGGTGATATGATGATAATGCTGATGCCAGCATATGAGAGTAGAGGAGAGTAGCTTTCTCTACCTACTGATAAAAGCTAAAGTCTTAAAGCAAATAGCCAGACATGATATAAATGAAGGAACTTGGGTCAATAAATGACTGTTTACTTCACATCATGAGTAAATATGGTGGCCTTATGACAAAAAAAAATTCATTTTCTTTCTGTTTGATTTCTACTTGATTGGCCTTATGATTTGCTTATTTTGTCAGGTTGATCAGGTACAATTAGTATGTCTTTCTAACAAAGATTAATAACTCGAGCTCAAGAAAGGGCAATTAGATGTGGGGTATATTACCCCACTACAGTGTGAAGGAGACTTATTTATTTGTTCTTGTGTTGTTAATCATATGCTTGGTGTCATAGACACCCACCTACACTATCACAGAGAAGAAGAACAAACAGTTAGTAAAACTGAAGGTAAGAGATCCTTCAGTTTAGCACCAATGGTCTTATACAATGTTTCTACATGAGGGTTGTTTGGAATCATCTCTGCAAACATAACATTTTCTGAGCAATCAATCCGTGCTAGACACTATGCCAAATGTTTTCTGTGGATTTTTAATTTTAATCCTTATATTAAGCCTATGAAAGGGGTATGGAAGAAATTATTGCTCACCCACAACAACCATTCTCCCTTTTTTCCTCGGCATTAGAACCCTGACTTTATTTGTGGAGGCAATATCACTAACTTTAAAAGACGTCATTGCTCAGTTTCCTTCACAAGTGAGAATAGCCATATAAAAAATTTCTGACCAATGAGATTTATCCAGAAGTATTGTTTGGGATTTCAGAGATTGTTTCTTAAAGACAGCTATCACTGCTTTTGCCCTTCTCCACCTCCTCCTTCCTTCTGCCTGAAGAGCAGTGTGATAGCTGAAGCTCTAGCAACCATCTTGGACCTGGCATCAGGGTAGTGGAAGAGAAAGATAGAAGGAGCCTAAAATGTTCTGATAACATTTCTTACAGACAGAAACTCTAGGGCTCCACCTTTCTTAAGCTACTGATCTTTTGGATTTTCTGTTATATGTAACCCAACCTAAGCCTAGTAAAATAGTCAATATTCTTATCCTCTCCATTTTAAAGATTGGCTAATAAATGGCAGAGATGCAATCTGAACTCAGGTTGTCTAATTCTAGAGCCTGTAATATTAATGCTATATTGCATGTAAGAGCCATTGCAATGGCACCCTCCTGCCATTACCCTTCATACTCTTTAGTACAGCCATTTGGATTAATTTCACATTTCAAACTGCCTGGCCCTGCTCTCGCTTGTCTTAGACATTCATGTGTGTTGTTTCCTTTTACTGGAATGCACTTCTCCCTGTTTTGTTTTGTTTTGTTTTGTTTTGTTTTTTCTGAATAGCACCTACTCAGATTTTAACTTCATTTTGGCATAACTTTTTCTGAAAAAAAATTCTCTCATCTTTCTAATATAGTTAAGTTTTCCTCCAGTATACTCCCATAGTTCTGTCATCACTCAGCATTAATTATTTTAACTCCCAATAGACTATGAGGGAAGACACTGTGTCTATCTTGTTTTCTATTAGAGGGAACAATGCCCAGTGTCTACACAGTGCCAGGAATAGTGTTTGTTTTTACCAGCCAGACCAGAAAATCTAAAAATTCCTGCACTGGGCAGAGTACTCAGAAGCATCTTACCTTAGCAGTGAGGAATAATTAGCCTTGGACTAGGCATGGCTCTGTTCCTCCTAACGAATCAGGAAGACAAGACTTCAGTAGAACTGAACTGTGTCTCAGAATAAAGCTCAACAATATGTTTATATCTGTCATCCAATCAGCGATAACCAGGCCTAAAAAGAAGCAGAAAAGCATGATTTATAATGAGAAAAATCAATCAATTAAACTCAGAACTGACACGGATCTTAGAATTTACAGGTGAGGGCACCAAAACCATTTTTTTAATTATATTCCATGTGTCCAAAATCTAAGTAGACACAAAAAAGATATTTTTTAAAACCCAAGTTCAGCTTCTAGAGATTATAACTACAATGTATGAGATAAAAAATACACTAGATGGAATTAACAGCAGATTAGATATTACCAAAGAAAATACTGGTGAATTGAAAGACATAGCAATATTGACTATTCAAAAAGAAATACAAAGAGAAAAAGGATTCTTAAAAATGAAAGACTATCAGTGAATGGTGAAATAACTTCAAGCAGTTTAACATGTATAATTTGAGGCCCCAAAAGAGGAAAAGGGGAACAAAAAATAATTTGAACAAATAATGGCTTTATTTTTCCAAATTTAGTGAAATCTATAAACCCACAGACACAAGAAGCTCCATGAACTCCCTAGCATATGAAACATGAAGAAAAATACCAACTCGTATCACAGTTAAGTTACTCAAACCTTGTCATAAAGAGAGTTTTAAAGGCATCCAGAAGAAAACACGTCACCTTACATTCAGAAGAGCAAAGAAAAGGGTGACAGTGATTTCTTGCCAGAAACAATACAATGAAGAAGACAGCAATATCTGTACAATACAGAAAGGAAAAAAAACTAAAGCTTTTAATCTAGAATTCTATGCCCAGCAAAAAATATATATTTCAAAAATGAAGGTGAAACATGTTCTCATACATACAAAAGCTGAAAAAAATTATCATTAGCAGAGTCACACTAAAAGAGATCTTAAGCAAAGTCCTTCAGACAGAAAGAAAATGACTCAGTTAGAAATATGGATCTACACAAAGGAACAAAGTACACCAGAAATTTTAACTCCATGTGTAGATATATGAAACTTTTTTCTTATTATATAAATCCTTTTAAAGATAGTTGTTTAAACAAGCAAAATAACAATGTTTTATGGGATTTATAATATATGTATAAGTAAAAGTTCTGGTAAAAATAGCTTAAACAAGCAGAGAAATGGAAGCAATGCCATAACATTCTTATACTATACAGGAAGTGGTATAATATCACTCGAAGGTGGACTGTGATAAAAAAAAAAAACAAATGCCGCAGATGTTGAAGCAACCATAATATAACAAAACAAAGAATTACAGCTAATAAACCAATTAAAGAGATAAAGAGATAGAATGGAATCATTCAAAAAATTCAATTCTAAAGTAGTCAAATGAAGAGCAAAAAGAAGCAAAGAGCAGAACACAAAAAACATAGTAAGATGATAGACTCAAACCTAATTACATCAATAATCACATTAAAAGCAAATGGTCTAAACACTGTAGACTGTAGACATTATCAAATTGAATTTACTTTTAAAAAGGGCAACACCCAACTATATGCTGGCTATAAGAAATAAACTTTAAAGATACAAGTAGTTTAAAAGAAAAAGGTATACTATGCTTATGCTAATGAAAAGAAGCTGTAATTGGCTATATTAATATCAGACAAACTAAATTTCAGACAAAAATTACATCAGCAGAAATAAATAAGTCTATTTCATAATAATAAAGAGGTTATCAAGAGGACATAACAACCCTAAATGCTTATGCACCTAATAACATAGCTTCAAAATGCATGAAGCAAAATCTGATAGAACTGAAAGGATAAATAAACAAATATACAATTATAGTTGGATATGTCAATACCCCTCTACCAATAATTGATCAATCAAGCGGACAGAAAATAACTTAGGATACAGACCACAAAACAACATTATCAACCAACTTGACCTAATTCTAATTATAAAACAATCCACTCAATAATAGCCAAGTAACATGATGCACTCAGTTTTTTTCAAGTCCTCACAGAACATTTACCAATTTATATGATACAGGGATGGAGGGATTTAAAAGGGCACAAGGAAACTTCTGGGTGTGATGAATATAAATCCCTGTATTTACTATCCGGATCATGATGATGGCTTCATGAGTACCTATATATGTCAACGCCTATTAAACTGTACATTTTAAATATGCGCAGTTTATTGTTGCTTGTTGTAGCTCAATAAATCCTTATATATACTACTTTCTCATTAACACTTCCCATATAATATTACTATAGAATTTATCTTACAAATCTCACACAGAAATTAGCTTTATAATTTTTCCCTAAAAGAATGGCAAAAACTGCAGTAACTTTTTCACCAACATTATGTATAATTTTATATATGCACAGGTGTGTGTGTGTGTGTGTGTGTGTGTGTGTGTAAAATTATATATCTTTCCTACTTATTTCTCTATGTTCGTTGAGAGCTGAGACAGGGTCTTATTTCTTTTCTGTATCTCATCATCTAAGATAGTACGTGGCACAAAGTAGGTGCTTAATTAAATAATTGCCAAATTTAATTGAATTGACTATTTTTTGCTGCTGTTATTTTCATGTTCTTAGGGAAATCAGATATTAGAAAATGGAACACTAAATACCCATGAATTTTGACACCACTCTTCAGTGAGGCTATAAGTAATAGGTTTAATTTTAAAATCTGAATGAATAATTATCAGAAATACTGGGTGAAGAGAGAGGTATATCCAGCAGAAATAAATTATTGCTCCAACTTCAAAATTAAAAATAATTAAAAATAAAATGTATACATTTTTTTCTTTCCAAAAATTTACTTAAAATCTAAACTTAAATAATCCATTAATTATATCAAACTTTATCTTATTCCCCTCATTTCTCACACCACCCTATCCCCAATATTCTATTTTTTAAGAAAGAAAGAAAACAGCCTTATATAAGTCAGTGACAGCATCCTGTTGATGACCTGTTAGAGTGTCTCATCAGCTGGAGTATCTCATTTCTCTTTCTGGAGGGTACAGTGGGCACCTAGAGACAATAGGTTCATGTTTAACCCCTACACACCCTTCACTGGGCTCAAACCTACACTTCTCAGTGGTACATGGTTAAAAGCACTAACTCTGGAGCTGGATTGCTAGGTGTGAATTCTAGGCCTACAATATAATAGCTATATGGCCTTGGACAAGTTACTTAACCTCTCTATTTCTCAGTTTATTTGTAATAATGGTACTTGCCTTAACACATGTAAAGCAAATAGAAAACTGTCCACAGTAAATAGCCAATGGATGTTAAATATTGTAATAGGCATTCAATAAACATGCCTTAAATAAATGGGTAACAGCTTTCTGACAAGAGAAACAACAAGTTGTCTAAAACTATAGCTTAAGTAACTCCTATATGATAGACTAAAGGGATTCAGTAGGTTTTTCTGCCCAAAAAAATTCAAAATTCCTAAAATTCCTCCATCAAAAACTATTAGGAGTAACACATTATCATCACCATCATCTTTTAAATAATTATTGTTACATTACGTCAATTAACCCTCAAAACCATTCTTTGAGTTAAGGCCTCTTATAATTCCCATTTTATACATAAGAAAAATAGGGCACCAGATGAAACTTTGTGCAAGGACACAAAGCAACAAAGTGGTAGAGCTAGGATTTGAACCCAGGCAATCTGGCCCCTGAACCTATATCAGGAAGCATCATGTCTACCATTCATTCATCATGAAATAAATAAATATTTACTGGGTAACTTCCGTGTGCCAGAATCCATGCCAGGCTCCAAACATGAGATCAGTGGGCAACCGAGGTGGAGGCAGAGGATACCCTAAAAAAAAGCATGAGAAAAAGCAGAAGAGGGAGGTGGTTAGAAAGTGTGGAACAAATGAAATGAAGGAATAGAATTCTATCTTTGCTTATCATATGTTTACAGTTCACAAAACTTGTAACTCCCACAGGATGTGGCTTCTGCTTTAGCCACCAGTCCTGCTTCTTCAGAGTAGCCTCTGAGCATAGGTTCCAGAGATTAGTCGCCCAACTAAAGGCTGACTCTATCACATATGACCTGGGGCAATTATGCATTAGTCTCTTTCAGTTTCACTGCTCAAACAGGGATGTTAACTCTTACAGCCTGCCTCATCAAACTGGTAGTTAAGTTTGATGACTAAATTAAGTAAATGAGTACTAGGTAAAGTAGTAGAAATTTTCTTTTTTCTCCAAACAGCTTCTTCTAGAAAATTTGATTCTGACAGTCCATTTGGTTAATGATCTGGAAGGCTTCTCCCAATCAAGTTGCTCCCAAGACTGAAAAAAAAAATCCCTCCTACCATCTCCTTAAGAAAAAGGAATAATGTGCAGTTCCCAAAAGACTTCTTAAAAGACAGTTAAAAATGTTTGAGCAGGGGATGATTTTTTAAAAGTGGAAACATCTGGACATCTCATCCCCTGATCGAAACCCATCCTCATGACAGATTTTTTCCCCTAGGTAGCTATTTGGAATTACAGTAATAGTTATCTTTGGTTGACTGAACTGAGGAGCTAGGAACCATAAGCACATTCATTTAAAATTAAAAAGAAATTGAAAAAATAATAAAATCTGAACTACTGGCTCTGAAAGACTTCTTAAACTCAAAATCAAACTCAATTAAATTTCATATCAAGTTCCATTCCACCTCAGCCTTAAACTCATGCTTTATTCATTTATTATTCATATCAATAATTATTTTTATATTCACTATTTTTATTTCTATTTATTGTTTATTTATAGCTCACTTGTCATGTAATATTAACCAGGCAATAACACATGCCCTGATGGAAAGGTAGACTCCTTTTTCATTTATAAATATTTCAAACTGGTAACCCAAATGCACAGTTCCTCCATTTTTATATAAGCTCTTTGATGTGCTAGGTTATGGAGTACTACTAACTCTTCATCATGAGTCCCAAAAGAAGTGTTTATTAGAACTGACCCCAAACTTCTCTGCATTTAAGAAGATGCTCATACATAGAAATGATATGTCACTGATTACACTGCAACAAAGAGTAGGTTTCCCCAAGCCTATGTGGTTTTCTCTTTTTCTCTAACACGCTACATACTATACTATCTAATATACTGTATATTATGTATATGTTAATGTACAGTATATTAGATAGTATAGTATGTAGCGTGTTAGAGAAAAATATATATAGTATATTAGATACTATATTATATGGTATATTAGAGAAAAAGAGAAAACCACATATACTAATAATTTTTTTCTCTTTTTCTCTAATATACCATATAACATAGTATATGCTATTTATTACTAATATACTATATTAGTTTTCTCTTTTTCTCTAATATACTACATAATATAGTATATAGTATATATTACTAATATACTATACACTATACTAATAGACTATATACTATATACTATATATAATATAGTATGTAGTATATATTTTTTATATGCTATACCATCTAATATAGTATATACCATCTAAAATAGTAGATAGTATATACTATATTAGTAATATATATACTATATTAGATAGTATAGTATATTCTATAGTATATTAGAGAAAATATTAGATAGTATAGTATACAGTATATTATAGAAAAAATATATAGTATATTAGATAGTATAGTATATGGTATATTAGAGAAAAAGAAAAAACCACATATACTAATATATAGTATATTAGATAGTATAGTATATAGTATATTAGAGAAAAAGAGAAAACCACATATACTAATATATAGTATATTAGATAGTATAGTATATAGTATATTAGAGAAAAAGAGAAAACCACAGAATCATAGACCAAATGAAGAAAGTGACCACCATGTTTATTTAGAAAATTCGTTTATATCTATCTCTATGTTGACTCTAAATCAGGTTTACATATAATAGTCTCAATAGATGCAGAAAACACATTTGTATCCATTCATGATAGAAACAAATTCAGCATCCATTCATGATAAAAACCCTCAACAAACTAGGAATTGAAGTAACATCTCTCAAAATTATAAGAACCATATATGACAAACCCACAGCCAACATCATACTGAATGGGGAAAAGTTGAAAGCATTCTTCCTAAGAACTGGAATGAGACAAAGATGCCCATTTTTACCCATCCTATTCAACACAATACTTACTGGAGTGCTAGCCAGAGCAATGAGGTAAAGAAAGAAATAAAAGGCATCTAAATTGGAAAGAAGGAAGTCAAATTATCTCTGTTCACTGATGATGAGTTTTATTTGTTTGTTTGCTTTGTTTTGTTTTGTTTTTTTTAAAGACTATCACTCTGTCCCCAGGCTGGAGTGCAGTGGCATGATCTTGGCCCACTGCAACCTCAGCCTTCCAGGTTCAAACGATTCTCCTGCCTCAGCATCCAGAGTAACTGGAACTACAGGCACTTGCCACCACACTCAGCTAATTTTTGTGTTTTTTGTAGAGACAGGGTTTCATCATGTTAGCCAAGATGGTCTCGATCTCTTGACCTCGTGGTCCACCCACCTCGGCCTTCCAGGATATGTTCTTATACCTCAAAAACTCTAAAGTCTACTCCAAAAGACTCCTAGATTTGATAACTTCAGTAAAGTTTCAGGATACAAAGCCAATGTACAAAAATCAGTAGCATTTCTAGACACCAATAACACCCAAGATGAGAACCAAATCAAGAAGTCAATTATATTTACAATAGCTACAAAAAGAAAAAAAACTATCTATGAATACATTTAAACAAGTAAAAGACCTCTACAAGAAGAACTTCAAAACACTGGTGAAACAAGTAGTAGATGACACAAACAAATGTGAAAACATCCCATGTTAATGGATTGAATAAATCAATACTGTTAAAAAAAATCATACTGTACAAAGCAATCTATAGATTCAGTGCAATTCCTATCAAATTACCAATGTCATTCTTTGCCAAACTAAAGAAAATAATCTTAAAATTTACATGGAACTGAAAAGGAACCCAAATAGCCAAAGCAATCCTAAGCAAACATGGAATTGAAAAGGAACCCAAAGAGTCAAAGCAATCTTAAGCAAAAAGAACAAAGAGACATCATGAAGTTATCTAACTTCAAATTACATTCAAAACTATAGTAACCAAGAAACATGGTATTGGTATAAAACTAGACACATAATGGCACAATGGTATTTGGGGCTTGGGGGAAAGGGTGGGAGAAGGTGAGCGATAAAACACTATACATTGGGTACAGTGTACACTCCTTGGTGACAGGTGCACCAAAATCTCGGAAATCACCACTAAAAAACTTATTCATGTAACCAAACACCACCTGTTCCACAAAAACTATTGAAATTTTTAAAGACGTCAAAAAACAGATCAATGGAACAGAACGGAGAACCTCTAAATAAAGCCAAATACTTAGAATCAACGCATCTTCAACAAAGTCAACGAAGGTATACACTGGGAAAGGACGCTCTATTTAATAAATGATGCTGGGAAAATGGGTGAGCCACATGCAAAAGAGTAAAACTGAATTCATATTTCTCATCATATACAAAAATTAGCTCAGGATGAATTAAATATTTAAATATAAAATCTGAAACTATAAAAATCCTAGAAGAAAACCTAGGAAAATCTCTTTAGGACATTGGCCTGGGCAAAGAATTGATGGCTTTTGCAGCAATGTGCATGGAACTAGAGGCGATTATCTTAAACAAAATAACTCAGAAACAGAAAGTCAAACACCACATGTTCTCATTTATAAGTAGGAGCTGAATAACGTGTACACACAGATATAAAGTATGGAATAATGGACATTGGAGATTCTTCAGTGTAGGAGGGAGGTGAAAGATGAGAATTACTTAATGAATACAATGTATTCTATTTGGGAGGTGGGTACACTAAAAGCCAAGACTTAACCACTACACAATATAGCCATGTAACAAAACCGTACTTTACCTCCTATTTTTTTTAATTTAAATAAGTAAATCTGGTTTTACAGTGTACTCAATCCAAGCAGTATATATTACCACTATAGAGACAGTAAATACCATTCATTTCAGAAACAAATACTGAATATTAAATAGCATTACATTTCATAATTGTATGAAAACTGTGCATTCATCTCCATTTCTGGAATGTAAGGTTCCTTAACACATAGAATATGCCTAGCTTTCTGAATGAATGAGTTTGGTAGCTAACCAAAGACCCAGTCACTAACAGCAGAGTTGTATGTATGAAAAAATATCTTGAGGGTGGATCAGAGCCATACAAAGGTTTATTCTACTCAAAACTACAAAACTATGTAAAAAAAAAAAACCTATCTATTCCTTAATTACAATTACCCTAAGACCCTACACTTGATTATTCTGTAATAACAATATCGGAGCTAATTTGATGACAACTTAGAATGGACAAGGCCTATTGCCAAGTATAACGCATGTTTAAAAACATGTTGCCATTTAAACATCACAACATCCCTGGGAAGTAGATTTTCCCCCTTTTTTCACATAAGGAAACCACATCTTGCTTTGCAAGTGTTACTTTTCTTATTAAAATATGTGTTGTTTTTAATCAATAAACAGTATAAAAGATATCTCAAGATTACAAAGAATTCATGTAAGTTATATATCATTTCCCTTGTTCCCTGGAGAAATGACAAAACAGTATTTTCATTTAGGATCCGAATCTGTTCAAGGCAAGATTTTCACAATGCATTGTGTTTTTGGTCTGCCAACAAGGAGACTTATTCTTATTATAAACACTCTCTCCCTCTAACTCTATAATAGGTCTCTTGTTTAACTATCTCCTTCTTACCCAACTCTTGACACTCTTTGACTTTTTCATTAGAGAACAACAGGTAAATA